CTCTTCAACATTAATCCTAGCAAATATTTCCTTATCAAGTGTTCTTAATGAAAGCAGCAGGTTCAGTTTTATTATTAGTCGATGAAATGTTTCGTCCTTCTTCTAACTGAATTATAACATTTTAATGTCAGTATGAAACTCTTCTGATTCTAACACTTCATTTTCTACCTCTTCAACATTAATCCTAGCAAATATTTCCTCATCAAGTGTTCTTAATGAAAGCAGCAGGTTCAGTTTTATTATTAGTCGATAAAATGTTTCATCTTTCTTCTAACTGAATTATAACATTTTAATGTCAGTATGAAACTCTTCTGATTCTAACACTTCATTTTCTACCTCTTCAACATTAATCCTAGCAAATATTTCCTTATCAAGTGTTCTTAATGAAAGCAGCAGGTTCAGTTCTATTATAAGTCGATGAAATGTTTCATCTTTCTTCTAACTGAACCATAACATTTTAATGTCAGTATGAAGCTCTTCTGATTCTAACACTTCATTTTCTACCTCTTCAACATTAATCCTAGCAAATATTTCCTCATCAACTGTTCTTAATAAAAGCAGCCGGTTCAGTTCTATTATCAGTCGATGAAATGTTTCGTCTTTCTTCTAACTGAACCATAACATTTTGAGTGTCCGTATGAAGCTGATTTGTCTCTACAACTTCATTTTCTACCTCTTCATCGCTTATTCTAGCAAATATTTCCTTATGAAGGGTTCTTAATGAAAGCAGCAGGTTCAGTGAGAGATTTAATCAAATGACTATAATTAATCTGCGACGGTTGCTCGATTTCTAACTCAGCTAAAGAGACTCATTTACAAGCCTTGTTGCATGACCACGGTACCTTTCTCTTTTATGAGACTCACATTACCTATATTCACTGATTGGGCAGCTGGCTGTCCCTGGGGAAAGTGAGAAAGCGGAAGTATATTCTAAGCCAAAGAAAATACCTACATCAATCAATCAATCAATCAATCAATCAATCAATCAATCAATCAATCAATCAATCAATCAATCAATCAATCAATCAATCAATCAATCAATCAATCAATCAATCAATCAATCTATTAATCAATTTGAAATATGCAAACAAAGTAGTGAATGCAGAAGCCATCTTTCAGATCAAAGTCAAAACAACATGGCGAGTGTTTACGACGGAGAATGGATTTGTGGTTAGAAGGAAATTTTGATGCACTAGTTAGAGTATGTAGACCTATCCAGTCCAAACTCCCGAGTTATAGCAACAACTTCTCTTCGGGAGATCTCGCAAAGAAATTTGCAAATCTGGTACTTGAAGGGAAAATCAACGCAGCGATGAGATTATTAGATGCAAATAATGCCAGCGGTTTATTGAGTCTATCTGACAAGGTTATTGACGAATTGAAGATGAAACATCCCCCTTCAGCACCAGCGGATCCTTCGACTCATGGCTGGAGAGATTCCTTTCATTGACCCTGTAATGTTTGAGAACATTGATGAAACAATTATTACTAAAGCTGCGTTACATACAAAAGGTGCAGCTGGTCCCTCTGGAATGAATGCTGATGGATGGCGGAGAATTCTAGTATCCAAAAATTTTGAAAGACGGGTGAGGAACTGAAAACAGCTTTAGCAAAATTCACTCGCATACTGTGCACAAGAGATATCAACACAAGAGATTAATGACACGGATAATCGATTGAAGCATTTGTTTCCTGTCGCTTGGTCCCTCTTGACAAGAATCCTGGAGTTCGACCAATCGGTATTGGAGAAGTATTGAGAAGGATCATTGGAAAATCAATTATCCGTGTCATTAAGCCTGATATACTCGAGAGTGGAGGATCTCTACAGTTATGCACTGGATTACCTTCAGGCTGCGAGGCTGCTGTACATACAATGAAAGATATATTTGAAGAGGAAGAAACTGATGGCCTACTTCTAGTGGATGCATCAAATGCCTTTAATAGCTTAAATAGAGAGGCACTATTGCATAACATCAAATATATATGTCCTCCAATGGCTCAATATGTAAATAACTGCTATGGAAAACCATCTCGTCTCTTTATCATAGGAGGTAAAGAAATACCATCTGCCGAAGGAACGACCCAAGGCGATCCATTTGCTATGCCTGTTTATGCAATTGGAGTTATGCCACTTCTATCATTGATAAAATCAGCTGAAAGCAAGGTAAAGCATGCAGCTAATGCAGATGATCTTGGTGGTGCAGGGACGTTACTTCATTTAAAATCGTGGTGGGAAAATGTTCTGCACTTTGGTCCTTTGATTGGTTATCATCCCAATGCAACAAAATCATGCTTGGTAGTGAAAGAAGAGAACTATGAGCAAGCTTGCAAGATCTTTGGCAACACTCAGATCAATATCACAACATCAGGACGAAAATACTTGGGTTCATATATAGGGACGGCCAATGATAAATCAGAATATGCAAACAAAGTAGTGAATGGCTGGATTGAAGAGTTAAAAGTACTATGTAGAATAGCACGCTCAGAGCCGCATGCAGCATACACTTGTTTTGTTAGTGGATTTCGTCATAGAATAACTTATTTAACTAGAGTCATCCCTGATTTTTGCAAAGCACTGAAACTGCTCGATGCTTACATAAATGAACAGTTTTTACCGGTGCTAACTGAAGGCTATCACTGCTCCGAAATTGAGCGAAAACTAATCAGTCTTCCGGTACGTCTTGGAGGACTTGGTATACCAATATTTTCTGAGATAGCTCATCAAGAATATGCTTTTTCAAAGAGAGTGACCAGTCAGTTATCAATGAATATCAAGCAACAAGCAACTGAATTAAGGCTTAACAACAATGAAATGAAGAAAACGAAGATTGAAATTGCCCATGAAAGAACAAAATCGCATGAGGAGAAACTTGCACTGCTAAGAGAATCTATGACACTCGATCAACGCAAAGCAAACGAGCTGTCTTGTATGAAAGGTGCGTCTTCATGGCTCACTTCTCTTCCTTTGAAAGCTGAAAATTTTGTTCTCAAAAAGCGTGAATTCCACGACGCAATCCGATTAAGATATAGATGGCATCTAAAGTTCATGCCAACTATTTGTGTATGCGGAAAACACTTTTCCGTTGACCATGCGATGTCTTGTCAAAAAGGTGGATACATACATCATCGACACAATGAAGTATGTGATCTACTCGGCAAGTTAGCAACAGAAATTTCAAATGATGTTAGAATTGAGCCACCTCTACAACATCTCAGTGGTGAAAATCTCCCAAGAAATTCCAACATATCAGAAGAGGCAAGGCTTGACATCAGCATACGTGGCTTCTGGCAGAAGGAACAAAGTGCATTTTTTGATGTAAGGGTATTCAACCCATTCGCACCGTCGTACAGAAACCAGAAACTAAACAACACTTTTGCAGGGAATGAAAGAGAGAAGAAACGCGTGTACAGTCAAAGAGTTTTACAAGTTGAGCATGGTTCTTTTACGCCATTGATTTTCGCTCACAGTGGTGGTTCAAGTAGAGAAACTGAAAAGTTTATATCGGTTTTATCAACGAAGATATCAGAGAAACGTGATCTGTCAATTTCACTGGTTACCAATTGGATTCGTACCAAGCTGTCATTTGCACTACTTCGAAGTGCCATACTGTGCATACGCGGTTCCAGAAATAGGCAAACAAAAGTTCAAGTGGACACAGCCAACATAGAAATTGTAGAAACATTATCCAGGATTGATTAGTTAAAATTGTTGGGAAAAAAAAAATCAGATTCAAGTTTTTCAAGTTTTGTTCTAAACATGTGTGAACCGGCGGCCTTTCGGTATATAAACAGCGCCAAATGTTGAATCATTGATGAGAATATATTTGTTCAAAAAAAAAATCTATTAATCAATCAATCAATCAATCAATCAATCAATCAATCAATCAATCAATCAATCAATCAATCAACCAATCAATCAATCAATCAATCAATCTTATACCGAGAAAAACAAAGAACATATCTACATAACGATACAACAATCAGTCTGCGTGATAATTCCAGCGTCAGGTTTAATTCTAGCTAAGAGAAAAAAACCAAGCGATTTGCTTGTCCTTCCTTGATTTGCATGTTAAAACATCATAACAGTTAGAAGTAAATAAAAGAGACAATTTTCAACATCTATTTAAAGCTTATATTACGTAATCAATTTGAATAAATCAAGAGGACTCTATAGAGATTGTACAAATATAAAGTTCAATGTTAAAAATGTTTCTTGCCTTACCAAATTCAAAAAACCTTTATTTTTCTATCTATTGTTAAATTTGCTAAAGCAAACATTTGGGTAAACTAGAGCTTTTCGTCTGACACTCTTCAGAGTTTAAAACGTCAAAACATAGATCAAAAACTCTACGCTAGGAAATATATATACCCAGTTGTGGATCGAAATAGGCCAATGAGAAGGCGCGCATATACTGTAGAGGTTGACCAATCAGTGCCGCTTGCCTATTGAGAATGTTACCAATGGATTCCTAAGGTAAAAACGAAGTCCTTTTGGTTGGAAGTTAGAATAAAACAACATGTTCCGTCGAGCATTAGAAACAAAACTCATCCCCAAAGAGAACAGCCACCTCGGTCTTGCAGATCTAAAAGTACGACTAAAACTGAAATATGTCTAAAAAATGTCTAAAGTACAACTAAAATCTGCGATTCTGCTGTCGGGCAGCATTTACTGGAAAACACAGATTGTGCAAAAAACTATAATAGCGACATGTTTCGGATAATTGGTAAAGCCCGATCGTCGTTCCATCTAGGAGTTTTGGAATATATCTACATAAGCACGAAAAAACCGCTATTGTGTAGACAAAAGGAGTTTGTTTTCACCTTAGGACTCCATTGGTAACATTCTCAATAGGCAAGCGGCACTGATTGGTCAACCTTAACAGTCATGTGCTCGTGTTTCTGATTGGCCTATTTCGATCCACAACTGGGTATATATATTTCCTAGCGTAGAGTTTTCGATTTATGTTCTGATATTTTAAACTCTGAAAGTGTCAGACGAAAAGCTTGAGATTACCCAAATTTTTGCTTTTTTAAAAGCCATTTTCAAGTTGTGTATCACCAAAAGATTATTGTTAAATTCTACGATGTCACATTTGACTAAAAGAAATTTGTTTCATTGAATTTGAATCGTAACATTTTGCATGTGCAAGTCCTTATATTATCTTAAGTAATTTGAATAGATAGGTACTAGGTTCAAAACAATAGAATTATAATTGTATATTTTGTCTATGATTGTATATTAAATTAAATAAATTTGGTAAACAAAAATTATGAATAAGCGTTTAAAAAGCATTTAAAAATTTCCATAGCTGTTTCATTACAGTGCGAACTTCACCCGAGCCCCCCCCCCCCCAATCAACTACACAAAAATCAGAGCATCCACTTTCAACTGCAAGACTCCAACTTCGCCCTCGCAACTGCAAAATTTCCTACAAAACTTGTATGATTCCAATTCTATTGATATAATAATAATCATAAATTACTAGACACATCTCGAACATTTTCCAGGAGAAAACTTTTTATAGCTCTCCATGCATGCTCCTGTGCTACAGAATGCTCAATTAAATTTCCTCCCAATAAAACATAAAGTTTATAAATTGGAAAGTAAGCAATACGACAAATTGGCATATAAGGAACCTCGATTAAATGTCCAGTGCCAGGATAATGATAAATAGTTGCAGGTTTTTTGCCATGCTCATGAAGCCTTCTTTGCATTTTTCTTGCATGTTCTGAGGTATTAGGACACTTGTCATCATCCCCTGTAACCAACATGATTTTCCCCTCGATCTTCTCAACTGGAATCTCCATGTTTTGAATCTTCCCTGGGTCAAAATTGTTATCTTCTATAGAAACAACTTCATTCTTTTCATTTATATGACAATACTCTCGTTTGAGTCCTTCAATCAGACCTCTAGATTCTCCCTTATATTTAAGTGGAAAAAACATTAAATAGGGCGTAGAAATAGCAACAATTGCCCTTACAAGGGGACATACTGCACCAACATTCAAAGCAATCTGACCACCAGCTGACGCACCAATATATCCGATGCCAGACGAATAAACCCTTTCATGACTTGCAAACCATTTAACAGCCTCGGTGAAATACTCCAAATCAATGTTGTTCAGGGTTTTAGGCAGATCTTTGTATCCAAAATAGGCCAACGCAAACGTGACAAATCCATGAGATGCCAAAATGGCTGCTCTAGCCTCAATCAGACCCCCTTGGATCCCAAACATGTCAATGACACCTGTCACGAAGAAGAAAATAAAACTGTTTATTGCTGCTACGACAAATCCCATTTGACAAAGCAACTCATTTCACATTCGTAAAGCGTAAGGTTTTGGGAAGTGTTGAGTCGTTCCATGATTCGGAAGTGTATATTTCTTAAAATTTGCACAGAAATCGCAATTTTCACAAAAATTTACAGTCAAATAATCAATTGCCACATTTGGGCCTGATAACAGGGGCGAACCTGGGGGAGTCTAACAAACAACTTTGATTGTAAATTATTGCCCTTCCTGAGGATTTTCTACGACCGGGTAAAAGCATTATATGCAAGGGAGAATGTCGGCCGATGGATAAGTGCGACATCGATATTGCCAAAGATGTAAGGTGAATTATAGAAAGATTCGGCTCGGTCCCAACCTTCTTTGCTGTTGTCCGTCCTGCAAGTCTGTGCAAGACATAGAGAAATGGCGGGAAACGATTTCTGTCGAAAATTCTATCTTTTGAGAAGACCAAATGCTTTGACGTTTTGCTCAAAACGTTTTGCACATAAACAACAACGGTGCAAGAAATAGCTAGAAAAGTATGTCAGTTGATACAAAACGAAATAATATTTTATCGAGATATAAAGAAATATTAAGAGGAGCCAAAGAAGAAGCAGCCGCAAAGAAATGCCCAGCCCAACTTTTTTCTCCTCATAAAACTGGCGGAGAAAGTAAGGTTTTTTATTTGTTTCCACTTTCTTCGGCTAATACCTTAAATTGTGAAGGGTGTCCAAAGGATTCTCTCCCCAGAATCACGTGATCGATGACGTAAGTGGTAACGGTTGAAAAAAATGAAAATCCTCAAATTTGCTAAAACCGTATAAAACGGGGCTTTACTGATAGGTTAGTACTTAATATCTGGCATTTCTCTTAAAAGTGGGGGTGCCCCCAGCCCCCATCCTCCGTAGACAGGACATATAGCTTGACAATCTGACATTCAAGCTAATGTTTACTTTCTCAACGGATTCTGGTGGTAGGGAGTTCAGGCTTTCATAATCTGCCAGGTGACTTTTGGGAAAATGCCTTGATGTCAGGTGACTGACGACGTCATTTGACGGTAAAAAATCAGACAAAATCATCGTTAGCTCCTAACTGAATGGTTGTTTTTAACACAACTTACATATTTTGACTCGTCTCATTGCAAGCTTTCAATTGATATATATTTAAGCAAGATTTGCCGACATCAGTATTTTCATTATGATGTCATAACAAACTTTGCATGACGTCATCAAAAATCTTATTGTCATAAAATGATACGTTATCATAATTTTGTTTTATTATGACGCTGGTTGCAGCAAAAGCTTTTCTTCCATAATTTTTTCAATCCAAATAATTAGTATTTAGTTCATTTAAATTGAATTTGTGCCAACCGCAATAGCCAAAGTTTGATATGATAATGACTTCTTCTGCTGCGAAATAAGGCCATCTCATAAATAAAATACTCCATCTGGCATTTTTCTGATGGTGGATTTATATATGGATTAGGCTCCTTGCACATGAAATTAAGAAGAACAGCTATATCGCCTTGTCACAATACACCTTCAGGAGTTGCAAGACTAGAGTTATGGTTTTGATGGGAAATGTAAATGCTTTTCCGATAGAGGCAGCCTTGCCAATCACGAAAGCTTGGTGGTCTTCGTTCATTATTGAGACTACTTTCGCTGTTTTCTTGGATCTTTGTGCCCCAGAATTCAGCTTAAGTTTCTGACTATACTTTCTTTGCCAGAAACAACCTACAATTCGAGCAAAATATCTCATTCCTTCGAGATATTTATTCCATGTTAGCGCTAGTGTCATCAGTCCGTGAGAACATTTTGTAAAAACGCCACCAGAAAACGCCAGATGGAGATTTGATGAGACGGCCTTATTTCGTAGCATCAAACCCAAGAAAACATTCAGTGTTTGGTTCAAGAACATTCATGGATGTGCTAATCCTCCTTATGAGGCTAAAGCAATGAAAGTGGAAACAAAGTCAACGCTAAATATTTAGAAACAGCACACGAGCAAGCAAACGGCAAAAGAGAGTCATCAAGGCAAGTGCATATGAAAAGTGGAGAGCAAAAGATACTCCAAAGTAAGAATAGTATTTTTACATTGATGAAAAAGAAAGAATCTTATGAGACTTGCTCCCGAATTCTTTTCAAGCGCTGAGGGTCACAAGCCCCTGACAATTCAATTTATCGTAGCTTAAGGAGGAGAAGCATCAGAGACTTCAAAAAGCAAGTAGAAGTCCCTCCAAGATGTAACCACAAAAAGGCGGAAACCAGAATATTTTGCATGGTAACACGAAAGATGCAAAAGTAGTTGCTGTTGCAAAGGATACTGATTTATGTGTGCTGCTTGTTCATGCAACACAGAAGTGCAAACCCACAAATTAGTGGTTTATGTGCATAAATAACAAAAAAACCGTCAAGATTTGAGGCATCGCTGAAACTTTTGGTTCCAAAATTTGCTGTGTTTTATCACAGATTAATGGAATTGTGGGCTGAGACAATTGCATATAAGCACAACATTGATAAGGTTACTGTGAAAAAAGTTAACGAGGAACCAGAAACAATTTGCGCTTAAAAAAATCATCATTAAAAGTCTCTCCGAAGGAGTTATCGCAAAAGCAAAGACATTCGCGAAACAGCAGAATATAGTGGAACAACATATAAAAGCTATTTAGGGACAAAGATATTTATCAAATCTGAACAAGGTTATTTTGGCTACACTGTTGAGGTGCAACTACTACAAGACATGTCCCAAAAGCCTGCTGTTGAAATTTGGACGACATACTCGACCGTTTAAAGTCTAAATGGTTCACAGGAAAGCAGCTTCCTCATCTCCGAGAGCTTCCTTTACATCACAAGGATATAAAGGTGACGCAGGAGATGAATTTACCCATGAAGAAAATCATACACTTTCATACCCAGCGCTAAAGACCTATAGTGCGAAGACAGTGCGAAGATCTTTTCCGACTTAGCAACAGTCAAATGCAGATGCAGAGAAATAATTGTCAGGTTCAGAGTGGGAGCAAGACTTTGCGACTTTGGAGGAAGAAGTGACTCACTCGTCAGATAGTGACGACTACCTTTTTCGAACTTTAGCTATTGCGGTGGGCACAAATTCAATTTAAATGAACTAAATACTAATTATTTGGATTGAAAAATTATGGAAGAAAAGCTTTTGCTGACATCCAGCGTCATAAAAAAACAAAATTATGCTAACGTCTCATATATGACAATTAGATATTAGATGACGTCATGCAAAGTTTGTTATGACATCAAAATTAAAATACTGATGTCGGCAAATCTTGCTTAAATATATATCATTTGAAAGCTTGCAATGAGACGAGTCAAAATATGTAAGTTGTGTTGAAAAACAGCAATGATTTTGTCTGATTTTTTACCGTTGAATGACGTCATCAGTCACGTGACATCGTGGCATTTTCTAAAAAGTCACCTGGCAGATTATGAAAGCCTGGATTCCCAACTACCAGAATCCGTTGAGAAAGTAAACATTAGCTTGAATGTCAGATTGTCAAGCTATATGTCCTGTCTACCGCCATGCCTGAAAAAGTCAGAAATTTAATAAATTAAGTTCAACAAATTTAACAGTAAATCTCAATCTTCTGTTTAGATTTGCAGTTGGCGTGGTTTTCAATATATTGAGTTGTGGGGGTTGGGGAGAGGTCAATGGGAATGATGCCTGCCATTTCAAAGGCCTTAATGATTATTGGTCGGTTGTTTTGCATGTGATCATAAAAGCTGATCAACCAACGTGCATGCAAAGGCTTGACGATGGACAGCTTCCTCTCGATGTTCGCTGAAAACACATTTATTCTCTTTTCGATTTCCTTTGTCACCTTCTCAGCATAGAAACTGTCAAATTTTCGTTTTAGGTTTGTTATAAAGCAGTTTCTTATATATAAAAAAACGTGTAAACAAGAAAAGACACATTTTAAACACAAAAAATACACAGTTTGAACAAAGAAAATGTCTTGCTATATTTTCCGTGTTGCAAAAAATTTCGTACTTAAAAAATTCCAAGGAAAAACATTTCAGACATTAAAATTTTCGGACGCCTCGAATGTACGAAAATATTAACGTCCGAAATTTTTTGCCTTAAATGTACGTTACAAATTGGCTGAGATATGACCGCATAACTACAGGATCTTTTCCCATAAAACCTTTGTAATTTGGTCTTGGTTCAAAACTTTATAAACCAGGCCAGTTCTCATTCTATGCTGTTCTTTCAGATTATGTGTTCGAAATTAAGAAATTCTAAAAATAGATTCTTTATTAAGTCACATTTCGGTATTCTATAGAAATCGCTGGAACGTTAGAAAGAAATAACTGGTGGGAATTATAAAGAGCCAGTAGAAGCACCAGCTCAGCCCATTGAGAACTAAAATTTCTTGGATGTAGAGGAGCGAAAGAGAAAAGAGTGAAAATGAACTGGGTATCTTATTTGTTGATTACGAAGGAGAACCAGGAACTGAATATTGATATGGATTTGATGTATAATAATACTAATAAAACTCAAAAACAATCTTTTTTGCCATTTTGAAAGTCCATCGGTGTAGAACGAGATTTGTCTAGCTTTGGAAAATTTCGGTAGTAAAAGATTTTGGTTTTCAAAAATTTCGGTGGGATCAATTTTCGCTTGCCCTGCTTCACCGAAAAAAAAATCCCATCAAATTACGAATACGAATTTTAGTATCTTGGTATAGTTTTCAAAAATAATGGGCGCTTTGTTAGTGCAATGAAATTTATAAAAACTCAAGCAAATAAGGCAATGCGGTGAACTAGGTCGTGTCCCTGTATCAATTAAAATACAACCCAGAATGGTTAATTTTTGGGGTAAGGTGTTCAATGGTAAAAAAGAAAAGCTTTCCTATACACTTTATTCTGTCTTAATAGATTGGGAAAAAATTCCTTGGATCAAGTCAATCAAGAGTTTGTTTGATAATACTGGCATGTCGATTGTATGGAACTGAGGCGCTTATACTTGCAAAGCATTGTGGTCTATGAGAACGCTGGGCCGAACTGTTTCGAACTGAAAACGAAATTGTTTCTTTTGACAATTTTTTCAGAAACAAAAAGAAAATATTCTATTTGAAACTTGGAAATGGAAATGTTTCTTTAATTTTTTTATTATGTTTATTCTGCTTTTTGACATGTTATTTTAAACTTCAAGAAAATAATTTGAATTTAATGTAAAATTTACCACAAATATCTGTGATTTTTTCATATTTCATAAAATATGTTTCTGTTTTTTGAATGAGAATGCTGGGCCACCATAGACGATCCCTCTGGTGTTAAGGGTCCTTTTTAATGTTAGTACTTAAGGGTCCTTGGTCTCAGGGTCTTAGGGCCTGGTTTTTTACGGTATCGCTGTAATTCGTAGACCGTCCTGTCAAATCAAAAATCATAAGGTGTCATCACCTAATGACAAATACTGTATGCAGCCTGGTTTATTCAGCACAAAAACGGAAGTAAGCCTTTTGGAATTGCATTGCTCACACAGAAGGAAAGCAGATGTATTGCGATCAACTGGACATGGGATCGAAGATGGCATCCCGGGAGAGGGTCCGTCTGATTTTGTAAACGACGCTAAAAAAATATACAACAGTAGAGACCATCGGCAAGAGCAAACAAAAGATACCATGACTTTAAAAGATATATAATCTAATTCCATTTTTGTTAAATTTTACGTGACTGGGTTCGTTCTAAATAATAAAAGTGAACATTTCTATAAAGAAATATCGTGCCAGTGTAGAAACCCCAGCCTTGGTTTTGAGAACGTATAACAACTTCCTATCCATTCAATGGAGACCATATTAGCAAGTTGATTTTAATGAACAGTTAATTTTGTCCAAAAATTGTGACCTTTCAAGCAAAAGATGCCAAAAATTTCCTTTTAATGATCAACAAGCATTCCATTTTTTCATGTGCGAAACTAACAAATGTATTCTAAAATTTCTCCAATTATTTGGGTTTCTGCCCAGTTTAGGCTGTAGGCTACCAAATCTTTTGGAGTTTTATGTCATGATCTCCGACATAAGTTGGAAGCTGGAAAGTGGGGGAGAGGCAAGGGAAAATTTAACATCTATAACAATAGATTTTTAAAAAAGCTCTATTGTTTTTCCATGTCCCCGGCCCCCCCTTCCTCAGAGGCCCTGTTTGTTGCCTAAACTTTTTGTGCCGAAAAGCTAACTTTCAAACGGAAGTTATATCTCTGTAATAAGCACTTCCGTTTGTTTCCTCAAATTATGCAAGCAGGTGATGACCCCTGATTTGATAGATGACTGTTGATTTGACTGGACGGTCTACGAATCACAACGACACACTACCAATCACGTTATGATTTGTAGATCTTGGAACGATGCCATAGATCGAGTCGTCAAGTTTGCCAAACCCTGTCGTGAGGTAACGGTACGATCCACGTATCACGGTATAATCTATCGGCCTGAAAACGTACCTGGAAATTTTCTGTTTCCCTTTGGAACAAACAGCGTTCCCCTTATTCGGCCAACACTGATCTCCTTGCGTTCCACGTGATCAGCCAGATATGTTCGTAAAATTTTCGTTTCTGCTAAAGGCTCAGGAAGCTTTTCCACGGCTTGCTTCGGGTTATCTGCATTCCCTTGAGACATAACATGCCTGTCAAACAAGAAAATCCTAAATTCCATCGGTTTAGTGACATTTTCTGCAATAAACCTGGCCCCTTTTCTTTGGCCTGGTACTGCTAACATGCTCCAAAATAAACCCATGTTGTCGATGCCTTTATAGGTACCTCCAAAAGAAGAATCTCGTGACAAATCTAGCTCTCCATCTTTGTCTGCTATGTAGTGTCCATAAGATTCAAAAATCTCTGATTTTTTAGAATTGAGTTCAACGCGCAAAGTGACACTTCGAAATGGGCTCAAATTTTTAACTTTAATCTGAATCCTTTCATCCACAAGCACTGGGCCTTTGGGTGCGATAATTGTTGGTAACATTCTTACTTTCAATTTATCGACCCTACGTACAGCATTTCCCATCACTTGTCCTTATTGCTAGTATCCGTGTATTGCTATGTTAAATCACTGCGGCTTGCAACGTGCAAACCACGTCAATTGGCTTAGGCCGAGTAGAGACTATTTTGCATTTTTTATTCACAGTGGCGAAATCGTGGTATGGCGTGTGCCTCAACTGTTGTTGCTGTGGTAGAAATAGGATTAGATTAGACTTAAAACTGAATAAGACGGATAAAGATCAGAGCATATAATTAGTGCAAATCTGACTCACTTTGTGGAGCTGTATATTAAATCAGTGAATCTGTAATTTTAGAAATTGTGGAATTGTTAAAAAGGGCATTTTATAGAAAATGCTGCATGAAATATCAATAAGACATTTGAGAAAAAGAATTGAATAATTAGCATTAGAAATAAGTTTCTCGATGCAAAATGAATGCAGAATCCCAGCCTAATGTATTACACAATTTTTTTAAGAAAATTGCTATAAGATTTTAGGAAACTCAGAAAGAAATTATAGACTTTGCTACTTAAAGTAAATATTAAGAAACAGCTGACTTTTGAAAACCTAGCACTCAAAATTACGTGAAAATCCATCACTGTGATTTTCAGGTGGCCATATGAACCGAAGCGAAATTTCTTGAAAGAAAAGTGCCATTGGCAGTTGAAAACAATGAAAACAATATAAAAATTGACGAGCCTCAATGGTACAAACAAAATGGACATGGTGCAAAGGTATAGGCAGCTTGTGCTCTAGACCAGTGGCGTAACCAGGGTTAGAAGATTGGAGGGGAAAAGAAGAGTCCGACAGCAGAGGGAAAATTTTTGCTGACCACGCCCTTAAGAATTCATGCAACAGAATTTCTTGAGCAAAATAATAAGGGGAGTAAGTGCGATATCTTTAAAATAATTAGGCCTTGCTTACTCAAGTTAAACTGACTACTTCATAGTGAGGGTAATATCAATGAAAAGTATTCACAGCCAAGGAAACTGCACGCAACCAACATAAATAAAAAAGCAAGGATTAAAAAAAAATCAGAAAAACTCCTATGATGAGCCTAACTGTATCCATAACCAACAGCAACAACTTGATGCTCACTCTTTTTTCATTGTTTCACTTTTACATCTTTCAGGAGGGTAGCCCTTTAGCAAAACTGGCTCTCAACGGGACTTCTACTATAAAAAATATAAAATTAAATAGGTTCTGTAAAAATCCTAGTCCAAATTTTGTAGATGGCATCTCGTTCATTTCAATACTCATGATTCTGTTATGTTGAACGAAAACTTGCCTGGACTTGGACTACAAAAAAGATCCATTTCATACCGTAATTGAAGAAAGGTCAATAGAAAAAGTTTTTTATTTACTCTGATTGAAGTAACTCTAAATGTAACTCTACCCTTCCTCCACAACAGTAGACTCGATCTATTTACTCGATCTATTCTTCGATTCTATGCAGAATAAAACCTATTTTTGGCAATATTTGAAAACGTCGTTTGGAAATTTTCTGTTCATGCCGGGCACAAGGGGAACGAACTTTGTTTTTGCCACTGAAGATTTGATTGCTTAGGAATATGAAGTATACAGAGTTCGTTGATCATTTAGAAAAACGAGATTGCTTTGCTTGCTAGAAAGAAGCATTTTTTACTTTGCTGCTGAATTTCTGCAGAAATTTAAAGATTATATATCTGGTTAGTTAAATAATATTCTTGATAGGTTTGTACACAGTTGCATGCATGAATCTTAGGGGCTTTATTTAAACCAGTTGAAACCTGGAATGATAGGTCTTCAACTTAGCATCAATTAGCATTTCTCAATTTTGGTCAAAACTGAAAATAATGTATTTTTTCTACACATACATTGTTCATAGAAACTTTTTTCCAGATTTTTTAAATATTCTGTTTATGTTTTGACTTTTGTAAGGATTCATCTGGTTTGCTTTCTGAACTTTCTTTATGATTTGTTCAATTTTTAGATTTACTCCATTTTGTGGTCAAATTCAAAATCTTTCAACAGAATCTGCAACAACTCTCGCAACTTTTACAAACTAATCACTAATCAAGATTCATCCATACATCAATCAAAATTCATGAATTTTCAAGAATTTTGTATTCAAATTCAAAATCCATGAAAAGAATTCACAACTGATCTCGCTTCTTTCACAAACTAGTCAAGTTTCACCCAAAAATAAAAATTCATGGGGTTCAAATAAATTGGGGTGGAATAAAACGTCAATATGACGATTGAAGAAAACGAAAGAAACAACTTCACTCGAGAAGTTATGAATATTTTATATTGACACAAGACCCAGTTAAGGTACCGAGCTGCAAAAATTTAATATATGATTGTAGGACGTTTTATAACTTATTTAAAAGCAACATTGCTGCTGTTTTTTATTTTGATATTTTCAGTTTCTTTAGAATCCAGCTAAGTAGTTGAATTGTTCAAAAATGTCGTCATAAACTTGTACTGTTTCAGCTACATTAATGCCATTTTCTTCTTCTTCGTCGTCGCACTAAATGGACAGTAACAAAATAAAATTTTTGGGCTTTTCATTTCTAAAATACATATTTTGTCATCATATTTTAAAGTATCCATCAATGTTTTCCAAGGGATCAAATGGGACAAAAGTTTTAATGTGTCACTTAAAAGATGGTATTTATGTTTCAAAAGTGCAAAAAGTGCCTCGATCAATTAGCTGATCACAAGGGTAAAGAAGAGATTCCATAACAACTTTTTGTTATTCATTAAGATAAATTTACTTTATTTATCATTTCAGACTTTCCAAACTCTTTGTCTTCTTCCGCTCGCATAAGCCCACAGTACAGACCAATGCAGATTAATTTCTTCTTGTTTTATCTCTTCAGCCATTTCAGTATGCTCATTTGGACAATTCGTATAAATTTTCCAATCGTGCTCTTTTGCTTCATTTATCTTTATTTCCTTTCCTCTTAACTCTTTTATTTCCTTGGCAAGTTATTTGACAGTTCTGTCGAAAGGTGTTTAACGAAAGGTGCTATTAGCCTTATCACCGAGGAAAGGTTAGTTGATATAGCACAGCCAATGAAACCCTTACTTGCACACAATTGTTTCATCCCCCTGCAAAAATGTCCGGTGATAAGGACATTTGCCTGAACGAAGTTATGAATTTTTACCCTTTCCAATAGAAAATGGTCCAACCTTTAAAATTCAAACTGAAATTAAGAAGTCAGCCATAAACAATTTTATCCTGAGGCACCGGAAGGGATCACTAACAAGCGCTAACAATTTATCAATTTATCTATTTCCTCCAGTCTTAAACATCATTCGTGTTTCCATTAATAAAAAGCGAGGTCATGTTTACAGAGGGCACGACAGCTTGATTCATGAAAATTATCTCACCAGATAACTTCCAAAAAGTTTCAATGAAATGAAGGACAACATCTTTCTTACCATCCACTTCTGTAGTAGAAAGCAGCTCCTCTTTACAAGCTGCAAAAGTCTGTGGCCCTTTCCAATCTTTTTAGAAGCATCGAATCCGGTAAATGAAATATCACTATTAAAAGATACATGCGTTTTCATCATTAAATATTGTAAAACATTTTACCAGATATCTTCTTCTGTTTTCAAATTATTGCTAGAGAACAAAAATCTGGGAAAACAGAAACCAGATAGAGAATTCTGAAGTACCATGTGTTGTCAACATTGTTATATTGGAGTGAAACATGGACCATTGGTAAAAGCATCATGAACAGAATAAATGCCTTTGAGATGTGGACATACAAGAGAATGCTAAAAATATCCTGGAAAGATAAGATCACAAATGTAGAAGTCCTTGAAAACATCAGAAATAAGAGCACACAATTGGAAAACATCTTAAGAATTAGGAAACTCAGATTCTTTGGCCATCTCACAAGAAGAAACAACAATTCAAGAATACTGTTGAAGGGAAGAATAAATGGAAAGAGAAAAAAGGGAAGACCTAGAGTGATGTGGGCAGACAACATTATGGCTTGGACTGGCTTAAAAGATAGCGAGGCAGTAAGGAACAGCCAAGGACAGAAAAAATGGAGAGCTACCATATCCTCCAACCTTGCAAAGGAGGGAACATGAAGAAGAAGAAGGAACATAATTAATGCAAACGAAGAAATTAGGATACAGCACTTTATACACAACTTGCCCGTTGTTTCACGACGAAGAAGTGCTCCAGTTAAAGTATCTTTTCTGTGAGATTTAGTAATAGATGAAAAACATCTTTAATATGACTGAAGTCTTTCGCATTATTTTCTATTAAGCAATCCTTTTTCTCTGACACGTCTTGTTGCAGGAAAGGACTACGAAAAAATAAAGAGAATTTGCAGAAAACGAGATGAGTATTGAACTTTCTTACGATAACAATCTATATGGATTCATTACAGAGCAAAGCTTTCAAAATTAATTGAGCTGCCATGTACTTAACTTGCATGTGACATGAAATATCAGTAAATTGAAACATACAATAAAGAAGCACATACATAATTGTTTAACGCTGACAATGCTGTGGTAAAAAATATGCTACCTGTCATGCTGATAAGTGTGCATACGAATTGAAAATATAATTATACAGCATGAAAACATTATAGTGTCTTGAGTGAGGAAAGCGAGGGTGGACTTCTGGGTGCAAGGTAGGTTCTTTGGAAAAGACATAAAAACTTTCAAACCTTAATAAAATCGGCTAATCGACAAAGAAATTCTATCCTAAACTCCGCATGCCTTGCGGTGGCCCCCATCCTGTCGCAATGGAGTTCTGTGACGTCTTGAAAATTTATTTTTATACACAGCCTGAAATAAAACCATGGAAAACTTCTAAATATGCAAAATCTGCTAAATATGACATAAATCGGGTGTGATATGGTATTCAAAATTATTTCTGCGTCATTCTTCATTTCCACAATTACATCAGGTTATGTTTTATGAATAAAAGAATAAACCTATTTCATAGGTGGGGTCTTTAAGAATAGTTTTTTTTTCAATATCTCAAAACTTAATTGGGTGGTAATTAATTGTTTTTCCATATGAAGTTTCGTTATAACGATTACACTTTTATGCTTTCATATTAGCTGGCAGAAGTGGTTTCTTCAATGTTTTGACTCGATTGTAAGAACATACGTATTGTAAAGCCTGGTTTCCATATAATCGCAAAAAACGCAAGAAACGCAGTTCGATCCTTGCGATTTCTGCAATCCTTGCGACAAACCGGTTTCCATTT